GCCGTCTGACAGAAGAAAAAGTTGGCTACGATCTACATACTGTGGGGTCGGGCTCCAAATTCCTCAGTAGGACACCCATAGCACAAAAGTTAATAACTAGAATCAACAAATGGGACTACTCAAACTAAAAAGTTTTTTCTCAGCAAAAGAAACAATAAGAGAGGTAAATAGGGAGCCTACATCCTGGGAACAAATCTTTACTCCTCACACTTCAGATAGAGCCCTAATATCCAGAGTATGCAAAGAACTCAAAAAATTAGACAATAAGAGAACAAACAACCCAATCAACAAATGGGCCAAGGACCTGAACAGACACTTCTCAGAGGAGGACATACAATCAATCAACAAGTACATGAAAAAATGCTCAACATCTCTAGCAGTCAGAGAAATGCAAACCAAAACCACCCTAAGATACCATCTCACTCCAGTAAGATTGGCAGCCATTATGAAGTCAAACAACAACAAGTGCTGGCGAGGATGTGGGGAAAAGGGTACACTTGTACATTGCTGGTGGGACTGCAGATTGGTGCAGCCAATTTGGAAAGCAGTATGGAGATTTCTTGGAAAGCTGGGAATGGAACCACCATTTGACCCAGCTATTCCCCTTCTCGGTCTATTCCCTAAAGACCTAAAAAGAGCATGCTACAGGGACACTGCTACATCGATGTTCATAGCAGCACAATTCACAATAGCAAGACTGTGGAACCAACCTAGATGCCCTTCAATAGACGAATGGATAAAAAAAATGTGGCATTTATACACAATGGAGTATTACTCTGCATTAAAAAATGACAAAATCATAGAATTTGCAGGGAAATGGATGGCATTAGAGCAGATTATGCTAAGTGAAGCTAGCCAATCCCTAAAAAACAAATGCCAAATGTCTTCTTTGATATAAGGAGAGTAACTAAGAACAGAATAGGGACGAAGAGCATGAGAAGAAGATTAACATTAAACAGGGATGAGAGGTGGGAGGGAAAGGGAGAGAGAAGGGAAATTGCATGGAAATGGAAGGAGACCCTCAGGGTTATACAAAATTACATACAAGAGGAAGTGAGGGGAAAGGGAAAAATAATACAAGGGGGAGAAATGAATGACAGTAGAGGGGGTAGAGAAAGAAGAGGGGAGGGGAGGGGAGGGAGGGGGGATAGTAGAGGATAGGAAAGGCAGCAGAATACAACAGACACTAGTATGGCAATATGTAAATCAATGGATGTGTAACTGATGTGATTCTGCAATCTGTATATGGGGTAAAAATGGGAGTTCATAACCCACTTGAATCAAAGTGTGAAATATGATATATCAAGAACTATGTAATGTTTTGAACAACCAACAATAAAAAATTAAAAAAAAAAAAAAGAAAACAAGGGAGAAACTTTGAGGAGTTAAAGCTTACTCGTTTCCAACTAAGGATGAGAATAGTCAAGGCCTGTACAGATTAGATGTTGCCCTTGGACAAGGAATATTCAGTAACAATCTTAGGATGGTATAGCAATATTATAAGAGAAGTAGTCAAATAACAACTAGTTATTCACAAACAAGTTACTTCCCCTTTAAGAATATCGTAGCAGATGATTAACAGTTATCAATATCGTATTATAAGAAACGTGTATATTAGGTTGAACTATATAAAATTATTTTCCCCATAAACGGGCAATTTCATGATTAAATCTAATATTTTGCCAATTTATGTGTTACCCATCTCTCTTCTACTCATCACCCTGGAATGAGTTTATGAGGGAGGCATTTTTTTTTTTTTTTTTTTTTTTTTTTTACATTTTCCCAATCTTTGGAGTGTAGTGACATTTGGAAAATATTTGTGGAATGAATAAACTAAGTTCTGACACTCTGCCTTATATTTTTCTGTGGATTTATTCTGAAGAGTCAGTCCATTTGTTTCCTCCCAACATCCTGATAACTGCCATTTGTCAGAGGGGGAAACTGAGGCTTAGTGAGGTCAAGTAACTTGCCCCATGCCATAATCTTAACTAATGCTTTATGCTAGACATTTATGTTTACACTATAAAAGCTGTCAAAGTCAAGCTATCTTTCTTCTTCTCAACTAGACTGTGCACAATTCCTTTAGAAATAGTGACAAAGAAATTTGAGGCTTCCAAAACTTAAGGAAGGAAAAGAGAAAGAAACAATGGGGATAAAGAGAAATAGCAAATGGCTTTGGGGGAGCCTGTTACCCTTCGTGAAAAGCAATATGAAACAATACCTAGAGCTGAGCCTCAGTCCTTCGGGCTCTTCGACTATGTGACACTTGAGCTCATCACTGTTGTTGCCTGCTTGGGAAGGGAGTTGATGGAGGAGGCTTTGGTCTTCAGGCTACCTGGGAATGTCACTGGGACTACCAGAGTCTTCCAGGAAGCAAGGGAGTGCTCCACCTTCTACATTTCCTATGAGATGAAACAGGGGGACCCCTACTTACAGAATCATACTGCTTTAAAAGACTTTTCCATGCTGCTTTAAAAGACTTTTGCTTAACTTATCTGGAGATATGGTACCCAAAAGAACAGGCTGCAATATTTTTAAGTGAAGGGCTTTCAGTGTGAAATTTGTTGATGTCACACATCCCTCTTTGGAGCCAATGTGTGGTCTATGTGGGAAAAGGAACGGTTTAGCCTGTGGATGCCTTTTCCATGAACAATGGTCCTATTCTCAATGCTGGGGGGTCTTAGGTCCCAGGTAGCTTTGTTCAGGTGTGGCCCGTTACAATTTCTACTCTTGCTGATGTGTCTTTTCCTTTTGACCTGAAAGAATCAGTTCTAGGATATGGAATTTAAGTCAGTAATCAACCTATCGATCTTTCTATTTTTCTTTCTTTTGTTTATCTCGCAGGCTAGTCTTAAATGACCCTATTGCCTCAGCTCCTGTGTAGCTGGGACTGTGGCACATGCTACCATGCCCAGCTTCAAAATATATTTTCTAAATGGTGAAAGAAGACAAATGGGTGATTTCTCAAATTCCCTGAAGCAAAATAAAACTTCAAGCTGTCTTAAAATCAGAGTGACTTCTAAGTGATGAATTCTTTGAGGGTTTTTTTTTGGGGGGGGGGGAATTGAACTTGAACCCAGGGGTACTTTACCATTGAGCCACACCCCCACACCTTTTTATTTTTATTTTTAATTTTGAGACAAGATCTCATTAAGTTGCTGAGGTTGGCTGTGAACCTGCAATTCTCCTGCTTCAGCCTCTTGAGTTGCTGGGATTTTGGGCATGTGACACCTCTTGATATTTGATTTTTTTTTTTTTTTTTTTACATGCCAATACTACCAATATGGTTTTATTTTTGTCATTGTCAACATGTACAGCATTGGAATTGTATCATTTTATTTTATTTCTTAAATATTACTGAAGTATGCATTAAAAAGATACTAATACATTTAAAGCCAGCAGCAGTGACACACACCTAATCCCAACTATCTGGGAGGCTGAGGCAAGAAGATCACAAGTTCAAGGTCAGCCTGAACAATATCACCAGACCCAGTCTCAAATAAATGTATATAAATAAAAAGGGTTGGGGATGTGATTTAGTGGAATGCACCAGGGTTCAATCCCCAGTATCACCAAAAAAACATTTAAGAAATATGACACATAAGAAGGCCTCTGTAAACATAATCCTTTCTCAATATTTTTTCCTATTTTGCTTCATACGTAAATAACTGAATCTATATTATCAACTCTTATGGCCTAGAACTGCATACACATTTTGGAGTTGAGAATAAATGTTCTCTTTGATTTGTAAATAACATGCACTATTTGTAGTGTTTAGTTTCATTCAAATGCTTATCACAAATTCTTATTGTCTCCCAACTTGTTCTGCTAATAGACCTTTTCAGTTTACTGGTAAAGATGCCATGAATTAAAAGTCATAATGGTCAAATAAATATAAAAGAAAAAAAAAGCAGAGAAAGTGGCTACCTAAATATCACTAAATCTTATAAAAACCACTTCAGCTTGTATGAACAATAAAAAACATTAGTGAAGAATGAATACCATTCATTTAAAAGGTATCTAACAAAAATCTAAAATTTAGTCAACAATGAAATTAAATCCATATTAGCCTTGCAAAAAAATTCCACTGAGATTCTGTTACAGAAACAGAACCAATAACATCCTAAATTTTCTAAAATTTATTTTTGAATTATCATTTTGATGAGTTAAAACTTTAAGGGTAAATAATGACACACAAAATGATTTTAGAAAGGCAAACTTATAATTCCTGATACACATTTCATTAGTTTTTGTTTAATGACTAGAAATCCTTATTTCTTCAGAAAATATTACATATTCATTGAAACACACCACTTATCTAGTGATTTATTATATATCTACATCATATTTATTAGATAAGAATTCCAATTACTTTTATGTAATAAAAGTAAAAAGGAATTTTGCATGTTGGCTATGTTTCACTAAGTTTTATATCCTATAAAGGCCTAAAAATAATTGATATTTGAATTTTAAATCACAAAGAAAAAAGCCTCAATATTTCTTTCTAGAACTTATAGTCCAACCCTAGAAGTTCTTGGCTGCAAAACAGTTCCAGGTACACAGCAAGCATTCAACAACTGTCAAATATAATATCAAGCATTAAGGTATGTAAGGAGGGAGAGTTCTCTAAACTCTCCTGGAAGGCTTGAGCAGCCTCTGGTGAATAGGTATCTTTTACCGTGAATCAATGGAAAACATTTAATGTCTCTTCCTGTGTCTCCAGGATTAACTCAGCACAGCCCTAGCCCTGTAAAAAACAACACTAATCTAGATTTAAAGGGGGCAATTGCTTCTCCAGCGCCAGACAGCACAACTCAAGTGTGAAGATGGCAGTAGATGGTGTGAAAGGGTGATCTGCTATGTGGAAAGCTTCTTCTGTCTCAGAGATTAAAATTCCAAGGAAAGCAAACACAACAGATGGTCCTTTCCGAGGTGGTACAAAATTCAAATAATACAATCCCCCAAAAGAACATCGAACGAAAGACACCCAGGATTCTCACCAGGTTGGAGCTATCACTTCCAGGCAATTGTTTAACACCAACTTCCAGGTTGCCATCTTCCTCACTACTAACAGGTTCTGTGCCACTCTGATCCTGTGGGACATTCAGAAAAAAAGGGAAGTCATTCTTCACTCACATCGTGGTGTGAGTACTTTCACACTGCCCCCAACTGTGCACTCAATTGCTGCGTTTATTATCATTTGGCTTCTGCAGAAGTCATTCCTGTTGTATTTCTAGCAGAAGGCCATTTGGTGTTTGGTTGCTTACTTTTATTTATTTGCTTTTTGGTAGGTATCTATCCTACTGCGTACAAATATGCCTTAGGAAAAGCTGGGCCCTCCTTTCTGTTCCAGGCAGAGTTCTGATTGCCTAAAGTCAATCTCATTCCTTTTCCCAACAATTTTGTAAGGAATGGGTACCTCAGGCATGGGTCCCGCCTCCCCCCCACCTCCCAGGCCAATGAGACAAAAAGAGAGAGGTTTGTTTGTGGAAACTTGTGGAAAAGTTCTTCCTTAATCTTAATAGAGCTGTAAGATGCCCACATATCTCTCAGAAAGAAAACAGGGAGCCCAAATTGCCACAGGCAGCCATCACATGAGGATGGAGGAACCAGCCTTAGGAAGAAGCTGAAATAGTGGGTGACAGAGTAAAGACAGAGATGGAAGGAACTGGTCCTCTAAGGGCTATGGGGTCAGGCAAACTTAGAGGCCAGCCCTATCCTTAGCCACCTTCTAGAATGATAACTAATAAATTTCCTCATTGTTTTAGCCAGTTTGAGTTAGCTATTCTGTTACCTCCAACCAAAGCTTTTTTGGTGAGGCAGTTGTTTATTTTATATAAAAGACTAAAACTCTTGAAAATGTGTTTATTTTGCTTATTTTATTTTTGCAGTGCTGGGGATTGAATTCATGGTCTCACACATGTTAGGGAAGCACTCTACCTCTGAGCTACACAACCAGCACTATCTTGTTTATTTTTCTGAATCAAATACTTAGCACTGTGCTTAGCAAGCACTGGTTAGACCAATAAATACATTGCTTATTTCCTTGATGATTTTTTTCCTGCAAAATTCTAAAAATATGTATTTAACATAAATAAAACATCAAGTAATAATAAGCCCCATTAAAATTCTAAAACACATTAGGCATATTCAATTGAATTATGACATACTAATTGTTATAGTTAATTAACTACTGCACCATCCTGGGACTACTACAAATTCCGGTGCGATAGTTTATAGAGAAAGTAGTTTGGGTTTTGGGACATTCAATCTCATTTGTAATTTAATAAATGCAAATTAAAGCAAAGATACATTATTCTTTCAGATACAGAATGGACAACATAACAGAAAAAGAACATTCAGCCTTGATAATATTGCAGGGAAATGGGAACTTTTACAGCATTGAGAGAATGTAAATTATGACAAAATTTTCATAGAAAGTATGAAATGACAATGAAATTATCTATAAGCATAGAGAACACATTTTTAAAATCACTTATAGGGAACGGGATTAAGGAATGGGGAATTTTTCATTTTTTAATCGGTGCATTATCGTTGTACATAATGGTGGGAATCGGTGTTACGTGTTTACACATGCACACAATATAACAATATAATTTGGCCAATATCATCCCCCAGTATTTCCCCTTTCCTTCTGCTTCTCCCTTCCCCTGATTTCTTTCCTCTACTCTAAGGATCTCCCAGAATGGGGAATTTTTATGTTAGTTATTTCTGTACTATTTGATTAGAGAAGAATTACCATGTATAAAAATAAATTAGCATGTGTAAAAATAAAGGAAAAAGAATAAAAAGAGGGCTTTGAGAAATACCTAAAAGAAAAGGTCATCTAAGGGGGAAAAAAAAAAAGTAGTATGGACTTTGGAATTGGTCACATTGTGGTACACATCTCAACTCTGCCACTTGGAATTATATGACTTGGGGCGAGGAGCTTTCTAAATCTGAGTATAGTCGTGGGCTGCATGACATTGTTTCAGTCAATGACAGGCCACGTATACGATGTGGTCTCATATAACAATAATGGAGCTGAAAAATTCCTGTTGCCTCCTGATGTCACAGCTGTCATGATGCAGCACAGGGCGTTAATGTCTATGACGATGCTGGTGTGGGCAAACCTGCTGCACTGCCAGCTGCAGGAAAGTATATGCACAGCATGTGATATTTGATAATGGTAGTAAACAACTGTTATTGACTTACATATTTACTGTACTACGCTTTCTATTGCTATGTCTATCATTTGTGTTAATTATACTGTAATTTCTGACATTATAAAAAAGTTTACTGTTAAACAATATGCTGTTATGCTAGCAATTTTCTTTATACATCTCATGTTTACTGTGTCTCCTGATTATGACTACATCATCTTATGATAGATTTAATTTCATGTTATTTTGCTCATCACGGCCTTAGGACTAAAAGTCTATACTAGATACATACACACACCATATAGCCCAGGTATGTAGTAAATTATGCCATCTAGGTTTAGGTTTATATTCCAAGACTTTTGCACAATGATAAAATTATCCAACAATGCATTTCTGTTGTTAAATGACACATGGCTGTACTTGTATTTAAGTACAGATAAGCCTGTAATCCCAGTGACTTGGGAGGCTGAATGAAGCAGGAGGACTGCAAGTTAGAGACCAGGCTCAGTAATTTAGCAAGACCCTAGGCAACTTAGTAAGATCCTGTTCCAAAATTTAAAAAAATGAAAAGCGCTAGGGATGTGACTCAGTGGTAAAACACCTTTAGGTTCAATTCCTAACACACACACACACAAAAGGCGCCCATAAAAATGTCAGATTAAAAATACTGACTTTGCTGGGCAGATGGCACACATCTATAATCCCAGCTACACAGGAAGCTGAGGCAGAAGGTTCTCAAGTCCAAGGGTAGCCTGGGCAACTCAGCAAGGCCTTGTCTCATAATAAAAAATTTAAAAAGGGTTGGGGATGTAGTTCATGGTAGATTGCTTGCCTAGCATGCATGAGGCCCTGGGTTGGATCTCTGATACCACACAACTCTGCCCCCACACCCCACACCAAAAAAACTCCTACCCTATCAGGTTACGGAGCTGACATGAAACATCAGTGGGCACAGCACCAGCTATAGTTAACTTCTGTTTCTGGCTTTTTATTGAGGCAGCTTCTTTATCCATGTCTCATGTAGCCTTCCTAACAACCCTATACAGAATTACACCGCTGTGATCCCCAACCATGGATCAGGACAATGATACTAAAGGACTCTAGCTAGCAAGAGATAGACCTAGGATTCAAAGCTCAAAAATACTGCCACTAAGGGCAAGGCTCTTGTCACCTGTGCTAGACCTAAATAAGCTCCCTTGTTCCTCCATCAGTATTGTTAACAACTAATCTTACAGAAGACAAGATCCAGTCTTTTAAACAGTCATTGTCAGACCAGAGATGTAGCTTAGTTGAAGAGTGCTTGCCTACTATGTGTGAAGTCCTTTTCCATTATTGGGGCACACACACACCAAAATAAAAATAAAATGATTGTCATTAGACCATGAGACTGTGGATTTTTTTAAAGCATTTTAGTATTTGTTAACTAGAAAATTTCATTAGCTACAACATTCTTCTCTCAGTAAATTTTGTGTAAATTTTCAGTAAAGCTTGCCCAAGTTAAGAAATCTTAAAAATGTTTAGATTTTCAGCATGAAAATGACAGTAGGTTAAGACAAAAAAAAAATTTTCTGAACAAATGGACTACCATTTCAAAAACTCAGGACTTAATCTATGGAAAACATTTAATGTCCAAATGTCTTAGTGTGTCTGGTTCTGTGGACTGTGTGGCCCCTGAGGAGGCTGTGGTATCCAAACACAGCACATTAGAAAGATGCAAAACAGACCCACAGGCAGCTCTTCTAGAAGCCCTGCAAAATGGCCTCTGCCTCTGGTCGGAGATGAGAGCAGATTTTCAATAGGATGGTCATCAACTGATGCTGTTCATCTAATCTCTCTTTTCTCTTCCTTGGGGAGAGGAAAGTGTTCCTTAAACTAGAGGAATCTTTACTTTTACATTTATCAGCAATGTGAGTATAGAAGATGAGATTTTCTTGAACTTCATAAAAAGAATACTAAAGTGGAAAACAAATAGCTATTTAGTTGATGTTTCACCTTGGAAGACTTAGGAACACATGGGCAAAGCAACATAAATTCCAAAAGGTCAAGGCATCCTTTAAGACGTAAATAGAAACAAAAACAACACCCACTACACCTACATCCAAAGCTACATTTTGGAACTAGAGGCTCAAATGAAGCAGTCTGCCATACCAGCCAGGTCTCAAATGCTACTTATTCCATTAAACCCATTTCTTCCCCTCAGCTAGGAAAAATTCTCTTTTCTTTAAGGTCACCTAATATCTTACCTGGTCCTCTTGTGTCACTTGTCATCATCTCTTTTACATCCTAACTAGTATATTAATTCTCATCTCTCTGATGAGAATCAAAGCCCTCTGAATCTAACAGCTGTGCCTTATCGGTTTCCTTTGTCTAGGCCATTCTGACATTCCTCCTAGGTCTGTCTCACTTCCACGTCCATGCTCTTTCCTACTTTACAGTTAAATGTTCTCTTCTGATTTCAGCTTGATGTGATTCCACTGAGGAAGTTGTGAAGTCCAAATCCAGAAGGAGAGGAGACTCAGCAAATAGGAAGGTGGAGTTGAGAGAGGACAGCATTGAAGCATTACTTTTGGGGGGCTAAAGTCGGTAAGCGTGTTTGTGCTGGAGTGACTGCACTGTGAATTCTGCTCTGTTATCAGAATGGTTCACGGGGTGAGATGCCATCAACACACCCCACTCACCAGGAGCTCAGAAAACGGCAAGCAGTCAGAGACAGGAAGAAGAAATAGGTCAGCATCATGAATCCTAAGGCACGATGGATCCCAGGGGCCTGAGGACCATCTGGCTGATGGATGGTGGCCACTGACACCCAAGATGACTCAGCTAATCCGGATGGCTGGCATCCTCCTCCTGCTTGCTGATCGTCAAAGCCACCTGTCTAAAGCTGCTGGCTCAGCCAAGCCTGCTCAAGGAGAACGACCTTCCCCAGGAAG